TTTCCCCCGCATCCTTAATGTTTTCCCCGCCAACCTTGATGTTTTCCCCCGCCAACCTTGATGTTTTCCTTGCCAACCTTGAGGTTTTTCCCCACCAACCGTGATGTTTTCCCCCGCCAACCGTGATGTTTTTCCCCGCCAACCTTGAGGTTTTTCACCACCAATCGTGATGTTTTCCCCCGCCAACCGTGATGTTTTTCCCCGCCAACCTTGATGTTTCCCCCGCCAACCTTGATGTTTTCCCCGCCAACTTTGATGTTTTCCCGCTAAGCACGATGTTTCCCCGCTAAGCATGATGTTTTCCCCGCCAACTTTGATGTTTTTCCCGCCAACCTTGATGTTTTCCCCCGCCAACTTTGATGTTTTCCCCGGCAACTTTGATGTTTTCCCCCGCCAACCTTGATGTTTTCCCCGCCAACCTTGGTGTTTTCCCCCGCCAACCTTGATGTTTTCCCCCACCAACCGTGATGTTTTCCCCGCCAACCTTGATGTTTTCCCCGCCAACCGTGATGTTTTCCCCCGCCAACCTTGATGTTTTCCCCCGCCAACCTTGATGTTTTCCCCCACCAACCTTGATGTTTTCCTTGCCAACCTTGATGTTTTTCCCCACCAACCGTGATGTTTTCCCCCGCCAACCGTGATGTTTTTCCCAGTCAACCGTGATGTTTCCCCGCCAACCGTGATGTTTCCCCGCCAACCATGATGTTTCCCCGCCAACCATGATGTTTCCCCGCCAACCATGATGTTTTCTCCCGCCAACCATGATGTTTCCCCGCCAACCATGATGTTTTCCCCCGCCAACCATGATGTTTCCCCGCCAACCATGATGTTTCCCCGCCAACCATGATGTTTCCCCGCCAACAATGATGTTTTCTCCCGCCAGCCATGATGTTTCCCCGCCAACCATGATGTTTCCCCGCCAACCATGATGTTTCCCCGCCAACCATGATGTTTTCTCCCGCCAACCATGATGTTTCCCCGCCAACCATGATGTTTCCCTGCCAACCATGATGTTTCCCCGCCAACCATGATGTTTTCCCCCGCCAACCATGATGTTTCCCCGCCAACCATGATGTTTTCCCCACCAACCTGATGTTTCCCCGCCAACCTTGATGTTTCCCTGCCAGCCATGATGTTTCCCCGCCAACCATGATGTTTCCCCTCCAACCATGATGTTTCCCCGCCAACCATGATGTTTTCCCCGCCAACCATGATGTTTCCCCGCCAACCTTGATGTTTTCCCCGCCAACCATGATGTTTCCCCGCCAACCATGATGTTTCCCCCCAACCATGATGTTTCCTCCGTCAATTAGAATGTTTCCCCGCCAACCTTGATGTTTCCCCGCCAACCTCGATGTTTCCCCGCCAACCATGATGTTTCCTCCGTCAATTAGAATGTTTCCTCGCCAACCAAGATGTTTCCCCGCCAACCATGATGTTTTCCCCGCCAACCTTGATGTTTCCCCGCCAACCATGATGTTTCCTCCGTCAATTAGAATGTTTCCCCCGCCAAGCATGATTCTTCCCCGCCCACCGTGACGTTTTTCCCGCCGTCTATAGAACAAGAGCGAAACCTGATTATGCATTTTGGTTCTACAAGGGAGCCAACTCCATCAAAATATTAACATATGTACCCAACTCAATTAATGATTAATCAACCAATTAATCCATGGGATAGCTGAGATGTAGTTTCCAGTTTCTACAACAGTTTGTGTTGTAATTGCGCCCAAGAGTGTACACTCTACATTATTAAAAGAGTTAACACTGTACAGCATCACTGAGAGTACTCAGAGTATGGGTTACGATGTGTATCAGTGCTATACCGAAGGTTCTGTTGAAGAAGGTGGACGATGTACCGGATGTGCATGTAATATATTTGTACTATCTTCTCTCGTACATACAGCAATGAAGCGCGTCAATGACTGGGCAAGAACACCTCAAATCGTTCTTACAGACTATAACAATTACATTTTCAAAGACTTAATCTTTGAAAATGTAATAAGTTTTACGAAACGCGCTCAAGTGTCGCGTCAGACTAGAAATAAAAATGAATTTTGGAGAATTGATTTTTCAGTTACCATCAATAGTGAAGAAAAATATAAGAAACATTGAGAAAATTCGTGTTAGAATTATTAATCTTACTTTTTCGGTCATATTTAATAATAATAATAATATATATATATATATATATATATATATATATATATATATATATATATATATATATATATATATATATATTATATAGACGCATCGAACACTGTTTATGTAGGACAGACGTAAATCTATGCATTTCTGAATGTAGGTTAGATTAGCATTTTAAAAGCACTACAATCACTTTCTGTGGTTGATTGTTCAATAAGTAACTGAACTATATGTTTAACAGATCTCTCGCCCTGTCCATGGAGGACAGAAGAAAATGCAGGCGATGAGTCACAATAACGTGGCTGAAGTATGTAGACCAGACCACACACTAGAAGTTGAAGGGACGACGACGTTTCGGCTCGTCCTGGACCATTCTCAAGTCGATTGTGAGAATGGTCGACTTGACACAATCGACTTGAGAATGGTCCAGGACGGGTCGAAACGTCGTCGTCCCTTCAACTTCTAGTGTGTGGTCTGGTCGACAGAAGAAAATGATTATATGCTGGTTAGCATTGTAAATGTGTGGCCACGTCTGTGGTAGAAAATAATAATAATAATAATAATAATAATACGTTCTCCCTGCCTACCTTGATTCTTCCCTGCCCACCTTGATTCTTCCCTGCCCACCCTGATTCTTCCCTGCCTACCTTGATTCTTCCCTGCCCACCTTGATTCTTCCCTGCCTACCTTGATTCTTCCCCGCCCATCATGTCATATTGCGCTAAATATGAAGATTCCATCTTGGAGATTGATTACAACAATTCAAACATCGTAACCAGCCACAATCTCATATTGGACGACCTAAAATGAAGTTTTCCCCCGCCGACTGTGAAGCTTTCAAGCTAAACAAGGGTTTTATAACTTCTAAACAAGGCAATTTATCCCCCACATGTGGCGTTTTTAACCACGTCCATTCCCGCGTTCTCATACCAATGAAACATTTCCATAGCCATATATATATATATATATATATATATATATATATATATATATATATATATATATATATATATTCGGCCGACAGAGAGCGCATGCGTGCGGATCTTGCGTTCATTAGTGGTAATTGTCATTGTCCATCGTTATTGGTTAAGCCGGGATTACCCCATAATTCCTCGAATGATTCTGATGCCAATTTATAAGAATTTTGGGTCCGTGAATCCCTGAAAAGCTTGTAGACTCGCTGGCTTTTATGGGTATATATATATATATATATATATATATATATATATATATATATATATATATATATATATATATATATATATATATATGACGGCCGTGATGGTCAAGCGGATTAAGGCGCCCTGTAGTTACCAGTTGCGTTGCTTCTGGGAGTATGGGTTCGAGTCACTTCTGGGGTGTGAGTTTTCATTCGCATATAGTCCTGGGGACCATTCAGGCTTGTTCGCATATATATATATATATATATATATATATATATATATATATATATATATATATATATATATATATATATAAATATATATATATATATATATATATATATATATATATATATATATATATATATATATATATATATATATAAAGCTGTAATGTACAGCTTATATCCTTATATCTCTGTGGTCAACAGTCTGTGCTCAACAGTCTGTGCTCAACAGTCTGTGCTCAACAGTCTGTGCTCAACAGTCTGTGCTCAACAGTCTGTGCTCAACAGTCTGTGCTCAACAGTCTGTGCTCAACAGTCTGTGCTCAACAGTCTGTGCTCAACAGCCTGTACTCAACAGTCTGTGCTCAACAGCCTGTACTCAACAGTCTGTACTCAACAGCCTGTACTCAACAGTCTGTGCTCAACAACCTGTATTCAACAGTCTGTACTCAACAGCCTGTACTCAACAGCCTGTGCTCAACAACCTGTATTCAACAGCCTGTACTCAACAGCCTGTACTCAACAGTCTGTGCTCAACAGCCTGTACTCAACAGCCTGTGCTCAACACCCTGTGCTCAACACCCTGTACTCAACAGCCTGTACTCAACAGCCTGTACTCAACAGTCTGTACTCAACAGCCTGTACTCAACAGCCCATACTCAACAGCCTGTACTCAACAACCTGTATTCAACAGCCTGTACTCAACAGTCTGTACTCAACAGTCTATACTCAACAGCCTGTACTCAACAGCCTGTACTCAACAGCCTGTACTCAACAGCCTGTACTCAACAGCCTGTACTCAGAGGGGCGCCTGGCACACTCTTACACCAGACCAAGCTCCATAGCTACTTGGAATTACACCTGGTTAAGTTTCATACCTACACCTGGTATAAGCTTCACTAGGATAAGCTAAGTAGCTACACCTGTTCCTTCATGACCGGCAGCTTGACCGTCAAGGAACTGTAGAGTATAAATACAAGAATTTCTTTTCTTGAAAATGTTAGTCGAATTATTATTTAATTATATGACGTGAACAAAGATGCGAGAATGATAAACAATATTTTTTTATACAAAAACGCATTGACCCTTTTAGGAGTCCTGGTCTGACTAGCAGACTCATTCACAGACTGTCAGAGTCATTCACAGACTGTCAGACTCATTCACAGACTGTCAGACTCATTCACAGACTGTCAGACTCATTCACAGACTGTCAGACTCATTCACAGACTATCAGACTCATTCACAGACTGTTAGACTCACTCACAGCCTATCAGACTCATTCACAGACTGTCAGACTCATTCACAGACTGTCAGACTCATTCACAGACTGTCAGACTCATTCACAGACTGTCAGACTCATTCACAGACTGTCAGACTCATTCACAGACTGTCAGACTCATTCACAGACTATCAGACTCATTCACAGACTGTTAGACTCACTCACAGCCTATCAGACTCATTCACAGACTGTCAGACTCATTCACAGACTGTTAGACTCACTCACAGCCTATCAGACTCATTCACAGACTGTTAGACTCACTCACAGCCTATCAGACTCATTCACAGACTGTCAGACTCATTCACAGACTGTCAGACTCATTCACAGACTGTCAGACTCATTCACAGACTGTCAGACTCATTCACAGACTGTCAGACTCATTCACAGACTGTCAGACTCATTCACAGACTGTCAGACTCATTCACAGACTGTCAGACTCATTCACAGACTGTCAGACTCATTCACAGACTGTCAGACTCATTCACAGACTGTTAGACTCACTCACAGACTGTCAGACTCATTCACAGACTGTCAGGCTCATTCACAGACTGTCAGACTCATTCACAGACTGTCAGACTCACTCACAGACTATCAGACTCACTCACAGACTGTCAGACTCATTCACAGACAATCAGACTCACTCACAATCACACTCACTCACAGACAATCAGACTCACTCACAGACTATCAGACTCACTCACAATCAGATTCACTCACGGACTATCAGACTCACTCACAGACAATCACACTCACTCACAGACAATCAGACTCACTCACAGACCATCAGACTCACTCACAATCAGATTCACTCACAGACTATCAGACTCACTCACAGACAATCACACTCACTCACAGACAATCAGACTCACTCACAGACCATCAGACTCACTCACAGACCATCAGACTCACTCACAGACTATCAGACTCACTCACTGACAATCAGATTCACACTGATAGACTATAATAATTTCCTTTGCGAACGTGAAGAAAGCAACACTCAGATTCTTGCGCATTTTCATTTTCGCATCAGATTCTTGGTCTGACGTTCATGTGAGACCAATTCTGGAATACGCGGCACCGGCATGGACCCCCTCCTATCTTGTTAAACACAAAAGCTGGAAAAAATTCAGAAGTAGCCGGTCGGCCGAGCGGACAGCGCACTGGACTTGTGATCCTGTGGTCCTGGGTTCGATCCCAGGCGCCGGCGAGAAACAATGGGTAAAAGTTTCTTTCGCCCTATGCCCCTGTTACCTAGCAGTAAAAATAGGTACCTAGGTGTTAGTCAGCTGTCACGGGCTGCTTCCGGGGGGTGGAGGCCTGGTCGAGGACCGGGCCGCGGGGACACTAAAAAGCCCCGAAATCATCTCAAGATAACCTCAAGATGCCACCAGAGTAGTC